TCACTGGGTCTTGTCTCCGTGTTTATGTGATCTATCGCACTGAATCCTTTTCGAAGCCTTGCATGCTCACCTGGTTGTCGTTCCTCCAGTGTTCTGTCAAGTCCCTTTAGGATGATTCAAGTGAAAAGTTTGCAGACGACAGATAGTAAGCAAATCAGGCGATATTTGTCGGTATCGTGGAGGCCATCCTTCTTGAACAATAGCACGGTCTTGATGGTCTTCCACTGGATAAGAAGCCTACAGTCAGGCAGGTAACGTGTGAAGAGCCGTGCCAGTGTGTTTGTGAGGACTTGCGGAAAGTTCTTCATTTGTTCAGATCTTATCTTGTTTAGCATGTCGGATTTCTGAAGAGGGAACCGGTGGTACGACATATCCATCCTCCTTTATTTCACACGAGGGAGGGAGGACGAGGCTATTGAAGAGATCCGAGTAGTATTAGTGAATGATTTTCTCCATTGCCTTTCTGGGCGCTGTAACTGTTCCAAGCTTCGGTGGGCGTTGCGAATACTTTTTCCCCTGGAGCTCGTGCGATTCCACGCTGGCGTGCTCGAGTTTCTGGAGACAGAAGCCTTTTAGTGACTTTGAAATTATCAACTCTCATAGCGGTAACATGAAGATGTTGAATGAGCTAATCACATTCCTCTTTGATGTTATTAGCAGCGACGTCTTCCCAACAGCGGACCAATGAACTGAATAAGTTCCAGTTATGGTGGTTTTGGGTAATTGTTTTTTTTAATTTAACTGCTTTTTCTCCTTTCCGCGAGAAATGTAACTTTGAGAGAGGCGTTCTGCGTAGAATCTTTGAACAACAGCGAGATCGATTAGGCAAAACTTACGATTTACTATGATGTGGTTTACTTTGTTATTGCATACTCCAATAAAGAGCGTGTGTGGCGCTGTGGTCGGAGGCGCCTTGCAACACAGACGTGGAATGGATCCCCGCGCCTATGGTCCACCAAGCCCTCCATTCCTCCGGGACCGGCGAATTGGTACCAGCGTTGTCTGTGAGGATAGTAGCACTGGCTCGATATATCGATAGGCCATCGCGAGTCATTGTAAATGCCAGATATACATTCATTCACCTCCAAACGATGCTTAATAATGTCGAATGCAGGGCGCATCCCCCAGGTATTGGTGAACGCCAAGAGCTTCATCCTTTATCCTTTATACTGTCCAATGGGAGATTCATACGTCCAGCGTTGAGGGTGGAGCTTCTGGAATTGCGAGTTACCATGGATGGTTTTGGTCGTCATGATAAAGTCAGACAGCCGTTCACCCTGCTCGTTCCATTCTAATCCGTTGGTCCCAATGTGATGTTCTTTAGGCGTTTTTCTAGGTCCAATCGTAGCGTTGAAATCTCTAATGGTGACCTTGAAGAATGTGTGGTCTTCTGTGTAGAAGTTCTTCAAGTCCATATAAAACGCTTCGACTTCTTCTTCGTCACAGTTTCATGTCGGGGCGTAAAGGACGAACATTGTCAGCAGCGGTATTGGTGCACATTTTTCAATCGTAAACATCCGATTGAGTTGTTAACTGTTTGAATAAATCGGTGTTCATGGCCAAATTCGTCTTGACGAAAACGTCATCACCACCGACTCCTCTGTTGTCGCATGTTCCGAAGAACACTTCTCCGGTGTCATAGACGGCGTTGAATGGGTGGCGTCGTCTCATCTCGGCCAGGCCGATTACGTCGTACCTTATCCTTCTCGCTTGCATGATCGAGTCTTCTATCGACGACTGGGATGCAAGTGTGGGTGCATTATAGGTACAGGTGGTCACCTTAGTTCTTTGCGGTTTAGGCAGCTTGGAATGGCTCTAGATTATAGCAGCTTCTCCGTACTCGTCCTACACAACACTGTCGAATTGGGGGCTCTTTCGTGGTCAGAGGAATGAGGCCTGTTTCTTTTACTGATTTAAGCTTTTTGATGCCCTCGTATAGCTTGCTGAGCTCTGAACACGGGGCTGGTCATAGTCACGGGTAGCTTTTCATTCTCTCCCGGAGTAGATGAATGATGTATTTGTTGAAGGCGACCGCCTTTCATATACTTCCGTTTCACTTGATTGCAGGCTTTTGGCCAATTTACTTGTAGAATGCAATTTACATAAATGACAACACATCCGTGCACTCATTTATAAACACGTTCTCATATATACAGAAGGTATTTACGAAATCAACGCTGCAGAAATAGGGACTCCATTCCCTGGATTCACGTGCGTCTTAGGGAAGCAAAGGTCGCTTTCGGTCCGCCATTAACCACTATCCTCCACTTGGGGATGTGCCACGTAGCCTCGCGACTAATCGGAAGTAGAACTCTGTACAGGAGAGATTCGTAGATCAACCTTATAGCTGATTAATGAACAAACCGATTGACTGGTAATTTGACCGGCAACTAACTGTTATTCATGTCCTAATCGATATAAGAACTATAGTTGTCATATAGAATGACCATGTATAAAAATATCAAAACAAACACAGGATAGGTTGCAGAGCACTTCCGAATGCCAACAGCAATGTGGTTCTATGCTGTAGCATTGTGGCACACAGTAAATAGCATCATGCATATCACTCATACCCAATGTAGCGATATAGTAGCGAAGTCTCTTCTACAATCCTGCTATGATCAACCCCTCCCCCCTCCTCACCCTACGTTCTCTAGTTATTGAAAAATTTCCGTTTGTTATCAGAAAACCAGCAAGTCCGTTAAAGGATATAGGATAAAGCTCTCGGCGTTAATCAATCCCCGAGAGATATGCCATACGTTCTAAATCACTAAGCATCTCTAGAGGTGACTGAATGTGTACCTGACCTATACAATGACTCGCGGTGGACTACCGATGGGTCGAGTCAGTACTGCTACCCTCCGAGACAAGTGTACTACAAACTGCCCGACTCCGGAAGGATGGAGGACTTTGTGAGCTTGGGGCATGTGATCGAATCCATGTGTATTTCAGGGCACCCCTAACCACTGCACTATGCGCGACCCGGATTTCCGTAACAGCTGAAAATTAGGCGGGAAACTCGTCCGATAAATGTAGTGCTCTTGCCAGTCGTATGAATGGCCAGCGTTCGTTATTTTTTTTCTAAACGCGAAACCTGTTTTTTTATTTGTGATAATTAATTTACTTTTCTTTTTAAATTGAATGAATGGTTGCGGACGATCGAATAGGATCAGTGCGGCTCAGAGGAGAGCGAAGGTGCCGGAACGTTATCCAGTGAGAGTTCTTTTATAAGTCTTGTGTTAGCTTATCAATCAAAGAGTATACACAGTGTAGCATAACAAACGGTTCGGCTTAATGGTGAGTTCTGTTCCTTGACATGGTGTTTATCCAGGGCAGAATCGGTCCAGAATAGCAGAAGGACATCGATATGTTAACTAGACTACGACGAAATTAAGTTAGCTGTTAAGATCCTGTGTATAATAAATCTGTTGTTCTGCGAGCTGAACTACCTGTCAGTACTGCTAGCTGTTATTTTACTAGTACATTTAGTGATATAATGAATCCGTTTATCAGGGGCGACCGATCTAATGATATCTCCAAGTTTTTTGTTTCGTATTCTAGAGCTTTATTCTTTCTGAGCTTGTATGTTGTTCAACGCTCAACAAAGTAGCCTGGTTGCGGGGTTTCATAGAGGGGTAACGGTTTCGTGAAACTTTTCTAGAAGGTTTCTGTGAGATTTCAATCCATCTTTTTCAAATTCTCGATCGATGAGGACATTTTGCATTATCAGGATGCTTTTGGATGGATTATTTTTTTCCTGATTTACTCACGATCATTCTTTCTACCACATAACTCAGTTTGTCGATGCTATCGAAATGTCTTTTCATGTATCCAGCGTTGTTCGTATTTACTCGCGATTTCGTTCTTTTCGTAGTCAGCAACTCAAATTTCTTTCTATTATTGATTTTCTTGATCCCTTAACTGCCTTAATTACCTTAGTTTGCGTTAACAAAGATGGTTCTTCGTTTACCAGGTAGTTTTAATTTGTTTATCATTCATCTTTGTGTGTTGGCTTAGTTTTCATGATTTGCCTTACCAAAGTATTCAATTTCAGTTGTGTTGACAAGGATTATTCCGACAGCTCATAGCCGTCGCTGGTTTCGTTCTTGCTGTAAGTGGACTTGTTTTTGAGCTAAATTTGTGTGTGAGAATGGAAAGAGTGTAGCGAGCTGTATTTCATTTCTTGTTACATTTTCTGCGTTTTTCACCTCAGGTCACACACTCATGATGAGCTTGACGAGAGTTGTTCTTCTTAAACCGTCTGCTCAGATGATGGCCATCAGGTAGCACGTTAGATTTGACATTCGTGGTAAATAACACAGCTAGCGTTAGTTTTGAGGATAGAGAAATATATACCGGTTGTGATTCCTACTGTTTCCTACCTTCCCAATGGTTTACCGCCTCATTGTGGCTGAAAGGTGTTCCTTGGTCTCAGGCTGCGATGTACAGCGGAGGAATTCGTCTCTTCAGCAGGGTCTCCGAAGCTGAAGAGTCAAGCTTTTCGATCACGAAGCCCAGCTAACAGTAAACGAATACCAGGATGCGCCACCGTCCTGGTATCAAAGTCGCATGGTGGCAAATCTCCCTGTGATCCACAAGTGCAGAGATTGTCTGTAGTGGTGGAACGGACTTTGGCGAGGCTGACCTCGGGACTACAGGGAAACACAGTGGCTAAGCCAGCAAAACCCTGACAAAATGGGGATTATGCTGGGACCCGCATAACCAATGAGGAGGAGTCATCCAAGAATCCAAGCAAGTAAGTACGATTCCTACTGTGGATGATCCTTGTTTCATTGCTTCGACAGCATAATCAACTTGATGCATACGACCTTAGCAGACCATTCTGTCATCCGAAAGTAACCCAGCGATGGAAGCGCCAACACAAGTGTCAGTATCGTAGATTTTCTTCAGTTTAGTAGATTTCAGGTTCAAGATTTCTCGAGGAGAAATCCGCTTAGTTCTTTAGGAATCAGTCCACGTATAATGTATTTGCTCTAATCATGGGTGGTGGTGTGACGGGAAGTTCCGTTGCATACCATCTTACTAAAAGGAATGTTAGGGACGTATTGCTACTTGAAAAGGAAGGTATGAGTTAATATTTTTCTCTTTCTTGGTTCTTCTTTTCCTTTTTAGTGTTTAAAATCCACTTAGGAAGTGGTTCTCATTTCAAACTATATTTTTGTTGTGGATACAATGGTTTAGTGATTCAGTTATCATTTATAGTTGATCATTTACGTAGTGAATCCATACTGCTGGTGTGTCTGAGCTTGGCATTGGGAGTCCTACGGAGTTTTGTTAAAGTATAACTTGTTAAATATTCTAAGCTTCAAATTTCTCGTGTTCTATCCAGGTGCAACCTTTGATTTGACTTCATTTCATAACAGGTTCAACGTTAGCAGACATTGAGATCAGAGAAAACCAGTGATTTAACTATTAAGCACGACGATGTTGAGACATTCGCAAAACTTGGATCCCGGGCCAGATCGAACCACGATTTCCTTTTCCTCAGTTCGAGAATTGCAAACTGCGCCAAGGAGGCCCTTGCTTTACTTTTTTCTCAGTTTGTTTTCTATCTACCAGTGCCATCAGCAATCACCCGTCAAAGGGATTGACCTAGAGGGCCCCATCGGCATTGAACCCACTTAAGCCAAGGCTGCAGTCGAAATCACAATGTTGGTTTTTTTATTTACTGCATGCTACAATTGTGTAATGCGCGAGCCCCTGTAGAGGGAAGTCGTGGTTCGATGCGGACTGGGGTCCAAGTTTCGCGAATATCTCAGCATTGTTGTGGTTGATTTCGCATAATAGCGTGCCATGGAAATTGTAGTAGGAAGTAAAAAAGTAAACATAAATGCGCAACTTTACAGGATATTTTTTATTTTTTTAAGTTACCGGTCGGAAATTTGATGTGAATTTGTGTTACCAGGTGCTTTACTGCTTAGAGAATGGTCAACCATTACACGCATCTATTTTTCATATTTGTGTTATTTCCTCATGTTATTCCTCTTGAATTGTATCTTACATTTCCATTGTAGAAGTAGCCACTCCAAGCGGTGCTTCCTTCCATTCACCTGGTCTTGTTTCTGCCAGTCATCCAGCCCATCGCTATAAACCTATACTCGCATATTCGGTCGAACTTTATAGCAAACTTCAGGAGGAAACTGGTGAAGTGGGGACGATTATTGTTAGCATGAAAGAAGCCTCCTTTTAACTATTGAAGTTTAGGTTCTGAATTTCGAAAGAAGTGGAACTATTCGTCTCGCTACTAACCCAACTCGACTACAAGAGTTTAAGCGCTACGTTGCAAGGGATTACTACAAAGTATATATTCCTTTCGCACAAAGGCTCTTTTTGACATTCAATTTACAGTGGTGTCAGTGTTCCAGTAAGGTTTCCAGGAAGGAGATGCATGCAAAACCACACTACTAACGCCTGATGAAGTTGCTAAACTCGTTCCCATCCTAGACATCAAACAGGTTAGCATGTTTCAGTGGAATTTTATTGGTCATTTTGCGATATTTCTAAACTTATTCCTATTATCAATTTCTATGTGGTTCTATTGAAGCGTTCTATTTGTTTAGGTTCTGGGCGCTTTGTATACTTCAAACGACGGCATGATTTCAGCTTCAGGTTTGAACCGCGCGTTAGTGAGCGGTGCGAAAGCAGGAGGTGCGCAAGTAATCCATTCAACGCCAAAATCAATACGATATGATAAGGTATGCTTATTTTTATTCGCCCTTTCTCCATATTCATATTTTTTTATTTGTTGGATTGGTTGTCAGATTCCAGGAAAAAGGGCAGTGGAATGTAGAATTGGCTAATAATAGCCTAGTGACGGCGCGAAACTTGCTAAATGCTGGAGGTATTTGGGCGAATGACATTGCTCGTATGTCTGGTCATGAGCTGCCAGTGGTTATTGCTGAGCATCAATATGCTTTTCTTACGGTGAGCTCACTGATAGCTCTTAGAACGTGTTTAATCTCTTTGGTTGCATGTGATTTTGAATAAGAGATGAATGTGGGATGGTATGCTGTAGGAGACATTTTTGGTATTTCTAAAACTTTTTACCTTCAAAATCGTGTTAGTGTTTGCTGAAAGGAGACTATTTCTAATGAATACTTACTGTTTTGTAAAGTGAAGGTAAGAACTCGATTAAGACTAGCCCTCTACCAATGTATTAGCGGAGGATCAAAACATTATCAATCTTTCGGATCACTTGCTTTCTGGTTAGTTTGCTTATGTATAGTGCTTCTTACTCTGTTCATCACTGCTCGGCAACCACAGTTTTCCACCTGGGACTTATAATTATAGATAACCATATCAAATTTTGTGATATAGTGGTTGGAGACGCCATGCAATACACACTGGATCGATTCCCGCGTTCCTGGCCCACCGAGCCTTCCATTACCCAGGGACGGCAAATTGCTACCAGACTTGTTTGGGCGGATAGCATCACTGTTTCGACACATCTGTAGGCCACCACGAGTCCAAATATGGATTCAGTCACCTGTAATGATCTTTGATGGAGTCAATATATGGTGCATCTTTCAGCAATTGATCAGCGCCGAGGGCTTTATCCTTTTATCCTTTATATCAAATTCAGTGGAAGTCCATCCGTAATTGATTCAAAAGAAGTACTTTTTTGATGTATCATTTATTATTGCCAGAACTGCACATAAATAACCCCATGAAAATCGATTGTTTTTTCGTTTTTGTTTTTATAGCCTGGCTCTGCACCACCGGATACACCTGCTATTATTGATCATGATAGCACTTTCTATATGCGAAAGTTTGGTGATAAGTATATTTTTGGTGGTTTTGAACCGATTGAGAAGGTAACGTTTAGAGAAGAATGGTATCGTGACGGTGTTCCAACAGGTAAGATGACTTTATTTTGCGATAAATTGTTCATTATAGGTCAAATTTGTTGCGTTCTGGTGTATTTATAGAGGGTTCCCTTGTTGTTACTCCCAATTTCTCTCGCTTGGATGAAGCCTACGAACGAGCGTGTGAATTATTTCCGTGTATCAGAGATTCACAGATTGATGCTAAAGCGGCTCTATTTACCATGACTCCAGATGGATATCCTCTGGTATGCTAGTTCGTATTTTTACAAAATTTCTTAGTTCTCTACATCTAAGACAGTTGTAATTTTTAGGTTGGTCCTTTTGACAAAAACTATTGGGTGTCCACTGGTTTTCTTGATGGAGTGAGCAGTGGTGGTGGAATGGGAAAGTACGATTTTTTAAGTTGGCAAAAGGGTCCTTTTTTGTTTAATAACCTTAACACTAGTTTAACATTTGCTGTGTACACGTTTTTTTTCTGTTTTAGATACATATCTGACTGGATGGTGGACGGCGAACCTCCCTTGGAGTTGTTCGACACTGATGCGAGCAGATTTGATAGATGGGCGACACGACAGTGAGATAACACTTTTCATTTTTTTTTATTTTATTTTATTACATAACAAAGATTCCACATCACATGTATCACACTATATGGACCTCAGCACTTGCATCCGACCCATTTTCCTCGCATCCATTGTTCACGAGGGTCTTCAAGCCTTTTTTTATGTGTAGGTTCGCCTGTTCCTTGAGGATTTTCTCATCTTCGTCACGAATGTCGTTGAATGCTTGTTGAGTCTATTCTTCCCGAAACTAGAGTAGCCATGCTAGGTCATTCCCATATGCATTGGCTGGAGTGAGCTGGTCCTAGATCAGACTGTTACCATTTTCTCGACTCCGGAGGGATGAAAGGTTTCGTGGGGCCGGTGCAGTGTCGAACCGGTACTTGGGCGGGTTTGGTCGTCGACTAAATGAATGGGATTACTGTCACTGCGTTACTCTTTCGCTTTTTGTTACAATTGTTAAAATTTAGCTATACTGAACGGCATGTGTGGAGTTTAGATTGGGGTGTGAATCAATTTGTTTTAGATTTATTGTGGACAAGAGTCGTGAAACCTACTCTATGTTTTACAATTGGTCCTACACTAATAGATTGGGTGCTCGGCCTACTGATCGTGTCAGTGGAGTCTATGGACGTTTGAAAAGAGACAAGGGACATTTTCTATTCCGTAATGGATGGGAGGTATTTTATATTGCTGTACTGCGCGTTTGTATCTACATGGATAGTTATTACTCCATAGGTCTCACATGTGTTCGATATTGATGAAGAAGGAATGTTGTCAACAGTAAGTCGTGAGTATGAGATGGTGACGAATAAATGTGGTGTCATAGATATGTCTTGGAAAGGAAAAATAGAAGTAAGGGGAGAAGACGCTGATGTGTTCATGGATTATGCGATCTGTAACCAGGTAGCGTTCAAGACTATAGTGCTTACTACCACTTTTTTTCTTTAATTGTGTCTATATTTTCTATTTTCAAGATACCTCCACTTGGGAAAATAGGCTCTGGTTTGATGTTAACTAGACAAGGTCGTCTTTTCGCCCCATTGAAAATTTTCCACCACGACAACACGCGTTCCGCATTTATTATGCTTACAGAGCCGGAAAGAGAAAGCAGAGATATATACTGGTGAGTTCTGCTATCTAAACATCGTCACCTAAATTTGGAGTTTTCACATGTAGCTCCTGTGTTCTTAAGGCTTCGACGTGCTGCTGCAGAAAAGAAATTTAATGTTCAAGTGAACTGCGTGTCGGAATATCTCGCTTCCCTTGCTCTTGTCGGGCCTAATAGTAGACAAGTATGCGGTTTGTTGCGTGCAATAAATATCTTAATGGATGCAGCAATTGTTTGCAGGTCCTTTCGGAGTTAACGAAGTCAGATGTATCAGAAGAAGGATTCCCACAGCGCTCCACTCGTTTGATGAGGCTAGGAGTCGTAGCAGTTGTGTGCGCTCGAAGTTCCACGTCAACTGGTCAGCTCAGCTATGAGCTCTTCCATAATAGAGCCGACTCCGCAAAACTATATCAGGTAGAGGTGCTAAAGCGTAGTTATTACTCTTTTTGTAATTTGCTGCATCCGTTGTATTAAACGACATTCACGTTTCTTGACACTATAGTATTTAGCTAGAAGTTCTTGAAATGAGGATGAGAAGTGAAAGGGCATTTTCATCTTTTCTAGCTCAAGTTTTTCAAAGAAATGAAGGAATAGTTTTTTTTTAAAAGATGTTTTAGTCTTTTTTGCTAGACCATTGTATTCGAAAGGATCCTATTTTTATTTCGTACTGCTGCAGTCAGTGCTTTCATGGATTGTATTTCTGAAATACCACATCCAAACTAGAATTACAAAGGCGGTGAGATGCGAGTAAAAAGTGAGAGTCCTGTAAATTCACAATCAATTTTTAGGAGATCATCCGTGCTGGCACACCACATGGGGTGGTGAACTTCGGTCAGGCGACAATGAATATAATGCGACTTGAGCACGGCTACAAAATTTGGGGACGAGAACTCACTCTGAACACGAATCCATTCGAATGCGGTTTGGGAGGTGTGCAGTTCTGCTTCCATTGAAGGAACCCTGTCATTTCCAGTGTAATTAACATTGTTAGAAACGTATATTGTAGCTCTTGTCGACTTCAACAAAGAAGATTTTATCGGAAAACCAGCAGCTTTGAATTTAAGCAAACAAACTTTCGATCGTAGATTAGAACTACTCACGTTTGATCCTGCCGATAACTCGGATGTGCCTCTTGAATGGAAGAATCTTCCATTTGGAATGGAAGTTGTTCGTCGAGAAGGACAGGAAGAGGTATGGTTTCGCTTGTTTTAAGGCAACATTTTAAAAAGACACTGTGGCTTTTGAAAAAGTTTTGGTGGTTTCGAATTCGTATCTATTCAGCAGTGCGATACGTTAGTTTTATTGAATTTCAGCGTATTGGTCAGATCACATCAGGTTCATACAGTGTTCGTCTTCGGCGACCAATTGCATTCGCGTGGATAGATAGTAGCGTGCAACCAAGTGAAAGGGTAAGGAAATATTATTGTCTATAATTGTTTCTGAGATATTTTGTAATGGATTTACTAGATCGGTACAGAAATTGTAACTGCTGAGTTTGTGAAGGGATTCTATTTCAGTTAACAGTTGACGTAGGGCTGGATCGCAGGTTAATAGCAACCATCATGGAAAAACTTCCACATACTCCTATTCAGTAGATTAGAGGTAGTAGATATTAGTACTGCTTAAACAGCAGCACTGCCTTCTGTACATATGAATGTTTGCAAAAATTTGGCTAATTAACGTTGGTAATTCTTTACTGCAATGCTCAAACATAGTGCATCACTAATGATGAAGCTATTTTAGCTCTCATATGATTTTAGCTATGCTGTTATCTGAACTCGAAAGCCTTACTAGAATGATTGATTTTGTCGCCTTTGTACGATGTTTTTCAAATACCTGGTGTGCAGCTAGTTTTACACAAATAAATTTTCACGCCTACATTCTTCGCTTGATTTCCCGGCTTGATGTTTTCGCCGTTTCTCATCTTTGAATCTTTGTTCACAGAAATGCTTCAGAGGCGATTGAAATCCCAGCTTCGTATTTTGGGTCTTCTTTTCGTTAATCTAAAATTACTGATTGCTTATATATTTATATGCTATTAATCCAGATAAAGTAAATGGTGTTACGCCCGAAGAAGAACATTGCTAGCAGTAAACTAAGGGACGCATTGCTGAAAAACAAAATGCGGTTTGCTTCTTACGTAGATATGTGGGCAAAGAAATATATGGAACGCGAACTTAGTGGGATTTCTTCAGAGATTCAAGTGAGTGGTCTCCTTTGGTCCAGTTTTTTATGCTGATTTTAAGTCACGTGTTGTTTTATAGCGGTTCAAGTATTGCGATTAGAACTAGGATTAGGTTTTTGTGTGCGAAACGGATTGGATTATACAGGTATAGTTCCTAGGATCGACTTTCTATTAATCTCGGCATTAGATTATAAGTGCTTCGTGTTTTTCCTCAGCAATCGCGTGGTTGTTATACAGCATACATTTACTTCCGCACAAAAACACATGTCAAACAGTGGTCGCTGGCGTTTCCACAGTATCGCCTTCTTGACAGCTGAGAAGTGTACACTGTTACGCATTTTACTATGCCAAACACTTCAAAAACATACAGAAGGATTAAAATCTATATGGGAACCACATGGTCAGCAGATTCTCAAAAAGCCCACCGTTTTTTGCCTGCCTTCCACTGAGGAAGAACCGCTGATCAGAGTCGTATATGGTTGGCTACTGCACTACCCATCATCAAAAATCAATTCTGAGGTACGGGGCTAAATCACATGTAATCTCTGGGCATTCTTTCCTGCTTTCGGGGAAGTCTCTATATGTCTGTGAGTTCTTAATATTATTAAGATGTTTTTAGTAGAACGTTATGGATAGTTGAGACAGATGTGTAGTCAATAATAAGAGACATTGTCCACATCTGTAGTTTTCCTTTTGAGGAATCCGACTCATATTTCAAATCCAAATATCCGAATTGGCGGCCTTATGACACAATGGCACGCCGTCCACTTCAACGGACATTCGTCAGAGAAACTGTAAAGGTATCATTTTGTCATGGATCAGTGGTATATGCTTGGTTATTGTGGATTCGAACCTTCTAATTCTTAGGAAATAACGTTTGACGATCCTATGGACTATCTGAACTACGTTATAAGAAAGAAAAACCTCCCAACAAATCTTTTTGAACAGCAGGGTATTGCCTCATGTTCTCTGCCTGTTAGATAGCTAGATACCGACAAATCTTAATCATACTTTGTTTAGCTGATCCCAATTTTGTCCCGAAATTAGCTCTTCTTCCTGAGGAGTTTCGAGATGACGAGTCAGCTTCGGACACCACAGCTTTTCGTAAAGGTTGCCAATTATTTGAGCGTTTTATGTTATGATCAAAATGGTTGTATTTATGGACCTTCCAAGAACTTTTATCTAATGGGATTATATGAATGGGAACTTGTATTTTTGTTCAATAGGATTAAACACGCACCTCTAGGATCGAAATGGATGAGGTCCCGAAGTGTAAGCCCGTGTAATCGGGAGCGGATACAAGGACATTCCGCAATACCGGGTTCGTTTACGTAGTTATATTCGGAGGGGAAACCATTTCTGAACTGTGTTTTTACGTCAAAAACTTATTTCTGCAGGCCTTTCAATGTTCTTGAGTGACGACTGCTATAGACCAAGTGAACGCACTCCTTGCAATCTATTGCCGGTGAAAAATAATTCATGCTGTAACCAACGTCACCGTCCTTCGAAGATCCTAGTTAGCCCTCTACAAATCCAAGGATGTTCGGACAATTCTTTGCCGTTGACACCGGGTTTAAAACATAACAAATTTACAACGAAACCTGCAATACCTTTAATAGTAAAAAGGAATGCGACTATGTCATCCAAAAAGTCAACTATCTCAAAAGAGGAATCTTCAAGCGAAGCAAAGCCATACATACATCCTTCATTGCAAAGCAATGGTAAAGCAAAGAGGGCTAAAGTCTTGGCCGCAAGAAACTGTAAAAATGGTTCATTGAGCTCAACCTACAGTTCTCTTGTTGACACTCAGTTGAAGACAACATTCAGTGTCCCTAACGAACGACTATTGCAGTCCAGAACGGCTCAGACATCAATGGATGGTTTAAGAAATACTCAGAAGTCTAAGTTAAGAAAAGAGGAAGTCAACGAAACATTTCTCCTTACTTGTCGACGGAACCGAGCTGCGAAAAGAACTATGGTAGAGACTCACAAGTTAAAATTAAGCAGTGAAGTTGCGTTCAAGGAGAAAGCAGTTAATAGACGGAAACCCGAGCCAAGTAAAAAATCGGGGAAACAGAATCGAAACAGTTCAGTGAAGAAAAATAAACAGGAATTTGTAACGAATGCTGAAGATTCTGTATTGCGCTCTTCTCCACTGATAGTGCCAATTTTTTCGGATTCCGTTTATTCTAAAAGCCTTGGAGCAGATTGTACAAGCAACCGTTCAATTTCTGCTTATTCAGAAAGTTGAGTACGTTTTGTAGAATTCTGGGGACGCGTTTTGTTTTCCCTAATTTCTTCCTGTTTTAGTTCGCACGAAAATAACTCTATAGATTGTCTTCCACCAGAGATCGTAATCCCAAGCGGCTTATGGAATGAGGTATAGCTGTCATTCTTCCATTTCACATACTGTTCAATTTTTACGTAATTTTATATATTGATTCGATATTCCAGAATGTTCATGATGTGGTAAACTCATATGAGGCAATTTGTCCTGAAACCAAGGGAAAACTAACAGTTCTTGGATTTGATGCTGAAGAATTAAGGTTGACAAACACATTTTTAGAAAGCTGAATTTTTCTTCACATCTCTTATTCTTGGACACGTGTAATGCAGTGGTCGGAGGTGCCTTGCAGTACACATGGGATCGATCCCCGCGCCCTAAGCCCACCAAGCTCCCCATCCATCTGGTGTCACCAAATTGGACCCAGACTTATCTGGGAGGACAGCAACATTGGCTCCATACATTGATAGGCCACGGCGAGTCATTGTAAAGGCCAGATATGCGTCCAATCACCTCCAACCATGCTTAATGAAGTCGTATGCATGGCTCATTCCTCGGGGATAGATCAACGCCGAAAGCTCTATCCTTTATCCTTCTATCTCTTATTCTTGGACATTAACTTGCTTTTTTATGGAAACGTTTGATCTTGTCCATTTGTTACCTTTAGAAAAGCGATTAGTGACGAACAGCAAACAACATTGTCTGCTTTTCTTATCTGTGTGAGTAAGCAGCAAACAGCAAACCAAGAATGGTGCGTTTTCGTTTTTCTTTTTTTTCTACGTTTGCGAATCGTGTAATCTGAAGACTATAATGTTTGAAGCTTCTTGGTGGATAGTGGTTTAAAAGAAGACCGTCGCGCAATAGCAGCTGCAAAGTCTCGTAATCGACGCCTCACGAGTGGATATTGTGATTGAGATCTCTGATCTTTGCCGTTGATGTTTTCCACTATTGAGGTCTACCGCACTTGTTTTACTTCACTTTCAATTTTTTGATCTCTAACAGATCTCTCCCTCTCTCACACTCTCTCTCTCTCTCGCTTTGTGTCCTCTCTCTAAGTCATGTGTAAGTTTACATTCAACGTTTTAGCACTTTTCTCGTGGTGATTCTGCGAACTATAGCTTTTGTAAAAAGTTCCTGTTATGAATTATTGAAGTATTCGCTGTTCGTTTCAATCCATTTTGTTTGGCAGATAATTTACATTTTGAGTGCTTGATTAAATCGTTAAGTTTTATAGCCTGTATGCTTTACAGCTAATGACAGAGAAATGGCTACTTGATTACACATTGGAGGACGCACTCATCGATGAGGTTCGAGACGGTTTGGAAAATTGTGGGAAATGGGGAGGAGCTTTGTTAAGATGTGATACTGGTCTGCCATTGTATTAAAAGATATAAGATTTTCTCCTGTAATAGTTCATTGGAAAAATGTCACAAAGTAACTAGACGACAAGGGAGCGAACCTCTACGTAACCCGTGTGATCCTAACACCTTACCGCACCGTATTATTGCTTGTAATTTATATGTTCTAGGATGAAGAAAAGTAGGAAGGAAATCATCTAGCATATACTTGGTGATGGACTTAAGTGATGAGAATATGTTTCACGTTTGATGAAATATGGGAATCACAGGTTTCTGTACCTTACCGAGTGGCCTCCAGATTGGTGAAGCTTTTTGCTGAAGGAAGAGAGGTCGCGTACATTGCCAGGTATCGTGGTGATGCTCATGAAGGAATGTCTTGTGATCAGATACGACAGTCATTTAAAGTGTTCACGGATGTGAAGTACGTTTGCTACGTTTCTCTTCGTTTTGTACAAGTGGCCGGAAATGTATTTTGCCCACTCCTATACCCTTGTAGGCGCACGTTTTATCAATTCTGTTTAACTGTTTTTATAGCATTCTAACGACCACCACAGGATTTAACTCGGTAGGAAGGCTTTCTTTCACATTTTCAGTGTTATTTTGCAAAATTTGGGTTTAAAGGGTAGAAATTCCACGCTATCATGGGTTGAGTTCCTTTGAGCCTTGTAGATTCAGAGGTTTTTCTTAAGACTAGTCCAGTTTCTCTCATTTTAAATACTGACTTGACCACTCTCCCTTCTTCAACATCCTTAAATTATTGGCCAGCGC